AATTTTACGTACTATACACATAGGATTATAGTCAATCGAAAAAAAATCAAGGGCTGTGGGGAGGGGGGATCCAGACCCCCAGGACATCCCCTTGTGTGTGCCACTTGGACGTGGCTGGACTGCCACAGGTTTTAGTCCTCGTGCCACTGAACAATTGCCGTGTAGAGTGGATCAATGCACGTTAAATCTGTCGAGGCTCAGTGTCCTCCCGATAGTGTGGTGAGGCAGTTAGGACAGGGAGGTGCCGGTTCACAGGTGTCGTCAGTTGATCGAGATTTTAAATTACGAGGTCCTTTGCCAATAGCCCTCGTGTTGCTTTATAGTACGACGCTCATATGACACTCTCATTCACTTCATAATGTGTCTGAGATAGACTAGCAGTAACGGTCGTGAACTCGTCCAAGGTATTGTTTCAGCCGAGCAGTGAATTCAAATCCTGATGCCACTAAAGCCCCCCCCCCCTTCTAATGCCCTTTAATCTGTCGAGGTAAAAAAAAACCTTTCGTTGGCATGGTGAGGAAGATTGAGGTGCCTGTTCAGGTGTCATCCTCATCACTTGACCGAGGTTAACAAAACGTGTTCGGTCAGTAATAACACTTGAGTTGTTGGCTAAGTGCAACGTTAATAAGTGACACAGTTAATGACCCCTCAAATGAAACATGGGAGGGGGATATTTTGCGATTTATATTTCGAATTTCATAAACATAACATTTATTTTTAAGTCTGAATCCATTGTATTTTTTTATGAATGTTACACAAGATAATTTTTGAAAGTTCTGAGATTGAATGCTTTAAGAAATATCGGGTTTTTACTCTGATAACCACTCATATAGATTTTAAGCAAAAATGTAGTATTATTTTAAAACTATTTTTATGAACTGAGACTTTAAAAAAAAACGTTGTAAAATATGAATAAGGGGAAATTTTAGAAAATTTCGGTTAAAAATACATTTTGACTTTTAAAAACAGCCGGCTGGGAGGCGAGGTTGGTTTTTCGTTGGTCTTCTACAACTAAGGTTGCAGGTTCGACCTCGGCCCAAGTCGGTGAATTTTCATGATGCAGAAAATCGACAGCTGTCATGTCGCATGATTACACAGCATGCAAAAGATCCATAGAGTGCCTGTTTGGTTAGGGTACTCTTAGCAAAATTAAATCCTAGTACAGGTTCGCTTCATCAGAGCTCACGTGCCTCCCTCTGGGGAGGAAACTAGCCTTAAAAATTACTTGCGGCGATTGATATCCACCTGTATGGTGCCACACAAAAAAAGATACCAGCTTCCAATGAATGTACGAGGTCTGCAACAGTAAAACACCAATCCACAGCCAATTAGAAGTAAAAAAGATCTTTTAAAAACATTTTTAAATTACAAATCTAAAAAAAAATGCGTTGGAATTTGTGAGAACAATCTATGGAAATACCACAAGTAGCTAAAAATTCAAAATATCTTTTTTTATTTTTAATAGTGTGGAAAACACAGACAAAATATCGTAAAAAATGTATTTGAAAACATTGTAGATTAAAATCGCTACAATTTTTCTTAAAATTTAGTCCTCAGTAAACTAACTCTCTCTCTCTCTCTCTATTTCTTTGATTATTTTAATACTTTATTTCATATTAATGAACGTGTTTAATTCAATCCAAAGAATAAATTTTTTCTCTAAAACTGTGAGAGAAATGTTAAAAGAGAAAGCAGTGGGGGAAAAAAGATTCAGAAATAAAGAAACAAAAACACACACGCGTTAAATGCTTTTACGTGAACAATAAATTCAGTACCATTTTTTCCCTCCCTTACAAACACTTGCCTCTCAAGCTATAAACGAAAACAGCCCTTATTCCAGTTTTTATTTTCATACATCTCCAATTAACTTTTATTCACATATTTTTATTTAACATCTTTATTCCGTTAAAATTTTTCTCACACTTTTTTTCACGTGAACTTTCGCAGATTTCAGCAATTAGCGATACTTTCTATTTTTATCACTTTTAAGCACATCTCATTAGGGATAAAATATGCCGAAGAAAAACGTGATTTCGAATAAACTAGTAATAACTTGAAAAGTAAAATGTGTATACGGGAGAGAAAATCGAATTTTGGAATGTTTTCTGCAGCCGTTGCTTTAATTGTTCCGGTTAATTCTCCCGTCCTACTAATACATCAATGACGATTTTTTTTCCTTCCCGTAACTCAATTATTTGAGAACTACCGTTTTTACTTATAAAAGTAAACATAATAAAAAAAGATTTTGTTGGAAGTGAAGTGAAATAAAATGTATTTCAGATGCTATTTGACGATGCTTTAATTGTCGTTTGAATTTATTTAGGTAAAAATTCGAAAGGAATTTTTTTTAAGCTCTGCCAATTTTAATGTGTTTTTGTTTAAAGTAACATTTTCAAAATCAATTCCAATGTTTTTAGTAAGGTAAATACATAATACTTCATTAAAAACTGTTTTAAATTTTTCAAATCTATGTTTTATTAAATATTTTCATTTATCTAACTTTTTTATTTTCTAAAAAACTAGAAAATTTTTCAAGAAATATCATCACGAAAAATTTTTACTTGGATGTTCATTCCTACTTTGGATTAATGAAAATATTACCAATAATTTAGTCTAATTTATAAATATGGTATATTAAAACATACATTAAATTTGCATGTTTTTTTCTCCCTCACCATAGCAATAAGAAAGAGAAGTGAAACAAAAATAATTAAAATAGTTTGAGGATCAGATACGACAAAAAATCTGTGAAACTCTCACTGTATTTAAAAGATTTTATTATTTTAATCCCGCTTTGCTATTTTTACTATTTTCAAAAAAATAAATGATTGCCATTCGAAAAATAATTAACCAAATCAATTAAAAAAATATATGTAAATGAAATATTAAAAAAAATTAATTTATTGATATAATTTTCATTTCAATCCATAAAATGCCTTAAAATAAGTTTTTTAATTCATTTTACTCGAAAATAAATAGCTATTGTATGTCTTATTATTATTGTCCAAATTTATTTTGATTTTAATTTACGTCGTATTGTAAAGCAATACGAGGTCTATTGGCAATGGACTTCCTAATTTTCAACAACGATCAAGCGAAGAAGACCACACCTGAACTGGCACCCTCCCTTCTTCATACTTCCACACCACACCATGAAAGGGAATTGAGCTTTTCTGGTTTTACTTTATTTTTGTCTAGCCATTTTGAAACTCTTAAGGCGATATGGTACCCTAAAAATCATTAAACTGTCGAAAAAAATTTTATTAGCTTATTTGATACCCCGAATCCTTATAAATATGCCTGCAAAATTTCAAAGCTTTACCTGCATTTTTCATTAAGTAATGGAGCAATGTTTGATGCTGAACAGCAACTGCCACGCCTACATTTCAGGTTATCTGCTAGAAAAGAGCCTGATAAAAATGAATTAATTATTTTTCTAATGCGCATCAATGAGATTGACATTATATATGCAGTAATAAATCATTTTAAGAAAGAATTGTGCAATTCATGCAAAAATTCTAGTTTGTGAATTATTTTTTGAAGATCAAATGGATTTGGTCAAGATTTAAAAGTTATGCTTGCTTTTTATCATATTATTATGAATGAAATTAAAACTTCAAAACGGATTCTCCCAAAGCACAAATACTGAATCTCATTTTGATAACTCAGATAATTAAAAATCTAATTCGCAAGAATAGAAAAACTCTCCCATTTTTATATATTTGTTTTGGTGATATATATATATCCCACGTGTGCGATATTCAACACTTTTATTATTAAAATATTTTAAGATATCTATTTAAACAAATGCACATATACAGTTCTTAGATTTTGATGTATTTTACCTATAAATTATTCTTTGATTTTGCTTTCATTCGTGTACAATATTTAACATGCGAAGGCTTTTAAAATCATGGAAATAAAAAATAAAGGCATAAACATCTTTTGTACATATTGTGCATTAGCTCTGAGCGTGGAATTAGCTTTGAAGTGTGTGTATTTATTCATTTTTATAATGATTAAGATAAAGTTTTAGGAAATATTGATCTTTCATTCGTTTTTTTCTATATGTTCATTATGGCAGTATACTGTTTAATTGTTCTACATTTGTGCAATTTTTTATGGTAAGTAGTTTTAAATACGCTAATTAACATTTCATAAAAGTTTCAGACTATTCGATGAATATTATATCATGCTATATTCATGGAATGAAAACTTCAAACTCATATTTCTCCATGTTGAATTAAAAGAAAAGAGACATATTTAAAAAAGCCTTAGGGGGGATTTTAAAAAAAGCTTAGAAAAGCTAGAAAATTTTAAATTTTACAAACATTTTGCAACAAATTAAAAATTGTTTGTATGGAATTATTATTAAATATTAACCTTTATAAAATACAATTAAAACCAAATATCAAATATTAAAAACAAAAAAAATTGTGAAGATGGTACCATATCGCCTTAATACAAAATGTTAATCCTATTGAGCTACTGATAAATTTTTGTATTGTATTACTAATAATTTTAACTACTTTATATAATATTTAATGATTCCATTATTACCTAACTATTTTATATAAACAAAATTTCAGTTTGATTTTAAAAACATTTATTAAGTACTTCGTAAATATCTTGACTCCACAGTCAGATCCTAAAAAATGCATATAAATATCCAGCAGTGGCGCACACAAGGGGGTATCCCCGGGTCCTCCCCCCCATAGCGCATGATTTTCTTTCCGATTGTTTATAACCCTATGTATATAGTACGTAAAATTTAAATAAGTATTTGTTATAAAAATTATTTTTATTAACTAATGCTAATTATTTATGCAATAATTTATTTTGTTGTTGTTTTTTATGCCTAACAATCGACAAAATCAGAAGAATATATTTCGCTGCATATTATGGTATGATACGAGAATGGTGGTACTTTCGACCCGGACCCTCACCTTGAAAAATTCCTGTGTGTGCCACTGATATACTTTAATAAATGAAAAGCCACCCCACGCAGTATGGTGGTTATGACATTCGGCTTGTAATCGAGTGGGCTCGGGTTCGAATCCCGAATAAGATGTGGATACATGTTCAAGAAAAGAAGTCGAACTTTCGCCTGAAATGGATTCCCGTCTCTAATGGAAAGCAGCGCACTTCTTTTGTTCTATGCTAGGATCATCGCTTGTATAATAAAGTCTATATTCTTCTGTGTTTGTACTGTGCGTTTCTGTTAATCTATCACATGTTTTTCATATGTACAGCAGGATGAAACACAGGACAACAACAATAAATGAAAGAAAGTAAGAGACAAAAGCTTTTTCTCCTTTTTTCCCTCCTCTTTCGTACCTATTTTATTTTATTAAAATAATTGAAGTTGACCAATTCCATAAACAGTCCACACCTGAAAAGGTAAGTAGATTACTCTCCAAGTGATTAACATTGTGGCCATTAATTCAAAGAAGCAAACGATTTTATTTTCCCGTTAATAAACCCAATAGCATAAATCATGTTAAAATTATTTCTTGCACATATCCTTACGCATATTTATTACACTAAGAAAGAACTAATTAATATTATTTGTAAACTTATTGTAACATTTGCACATCCCATCGGTATTTCAAAATTTGTAATTATTGAAGATATTTCTTTCTAAGCACAACTCTACCTGTATTAAATGGTCCGGTTAAAGAGCTTTAATCTTTAACTCTTCAAAAGTCGTTCAAACAGAGAATTTTCTGTCGCACTAATGCGTCTAGAATGTACATCTAGTCCCAAAATCCAGGACATCATTTCTTCTCCGTAAAGTGACCCCTTCACTGATTTTAAAATGAGAAGAGAGCCATGAATTAAACATGGAATTCTTGTAGCTTTCACAGATGACATTATAAAAGAAATATGTAGCTGTCTTTCGAATCCATTTCATTTTGGCGATAAGAATATATTTTGAAGGATATATATAGAAGTTGATATATATATATATTCCTTCTGGGAAACATTGTTAATGATTCTGACCGTATTTTTAGAAGAAAGCATTATTTCAGAAGGTGTGATGGTCTGTTAGAACTTGTGTCTTCAAAGAAATGTACAAAAGATTATTTTTTATTATTGTTTGAGATGAAAACTTGATTCGAATGAATAGATTTCTACTCTTTTATTCTTTGTACTGCCATTCTCAATCGTGGTTTTAGTTCTTAAATTTGCTAATTAACAGTATTTTCTTTACAAATAATTTATTTAACTTAACGCAGCTCACTGATATATATAAATGCATTTAAATCTACAGAATAAAAAAATAATTATTCTATTTTTACTACTTATTTTTGTTGTATTTTCGAAGCATATTTTGAAAATTACTTTTATTTTTTAAAAGAAATGTAAAAAAGGGGCAATAACTGTCTGTTTATATTGACGTTAGAAGGATGTATTATTTTAAAAACCACGCATCCCTGATGTTGTTCAGAAATTTCCTATTTTTTTCTTTGTACGTACTACAGATACAAAAATTACTGTGCATTTTTCTTCAGTAAAGCTTTTTACTAGTGGATCACAGATACTTTTTCAAATAAACTAGTAGCTTTATCGCAACTTCCATTTTTTACGAATATAACTCACGTGCATATATAACCTCACTCTGGGAAATGAGCTTCCAAAAGTGTTTACATACATCGCCTACACTTTTCGCATAAAATGTGACCAATGAGTAGTATGACTGGATTCGGTTCTTCATTGGTTCAGCCCTTTACATCAAATCAGAGCATAGTACCCCAATATTCCAGATTATGAGTCTTTGGCATTCACAAAAAGCCCTCGTACAGCTGAACAGTGTGACGTTAATATTCACTCACTTACTTGGCATTCACAAGTCCCAAAATACAAAACTAACTAATTAATAATAGTTAAGCACTGTTACTTATTTAACAAAGATGTGCCAATATATGCGCACTTTTTTAAACTTGAGTTACTACATGTATTTTATTCGTTTATGTTTCAACTTCATATTGTGACGTTTTTGCATCACATAGCCTGAAAAATCGGCTTCTTTTTGTGAATAGGATAACACCGTTCCTATGCATAGGTGCACCCCTAAATATTGCGGAGTCTGTCATCCGACATCGCCCCAAAATCGATGGCCGTGCACCCCAACGGCTAGATTCAACATCTGAGAGTGGAAAACTCCGAGTGTAATTCGAGGAAGAACCGCTAACCTCCCGAGTGGGGGAGTCCGTTGAGTGAGTGAGGGAATATTAACGCTTCACTGTTCAGCTACACGAGGACTTTTAGCGACGGACATCGTAATTTTGAATCATGGTCAAGTGACGAGGAAGACACCTTAGTTGGTACTCCCTTCTCCTAACTACCACACCACACCAACGGTAGGATGTTTGAGCTCTCGACAGGTTTAACATGCATCGCGCACCTACACGGCGGGTCTTCAGGGGTACTGAGCTCGAACTCATGACACGCCAGCCACGATCCGATACCTTGATCACTTGGCTACCGCGGCCACGAGGGAGTCCGTTGGAAAACACCGAAGAGAACGGTAGTGTTGCCTCCTTCCTCACAAATAGCATAATCTGAACTCTAATGAGGTACTCTATATATTATAAATAACTTCAATGAAAATGTATGTACTGTAATTCATAGCTATGACTCGAATAAACCAATTATTTAATTTCTTAACTCTCATATGTTACTAGATACTACCATTGATTTCCTCAAACGTCGCAATATCTAGTTGCTTTCATGTCTGGTCGTAGGAAACATTAAAGAAAACATAATAATGAGGACTGCTACGTTTCATCATCAAGAAGAAATACACATATTCGCATGATATAATATAGAAGTCAGAAAAGGAAAGAGATTCAGCCCTATCCCTTAAGTCGTAGTCCATGATTATTAAACTCCGGAAAACCGCAGGTGAAGCATCTATTGGGGCATGAATTCAAAACTTTTAGTCCTTCTTAGCACACATACTGAACAATCTACATTTTTTTATATAAAGGAAATTTCAGAAAGATATTAGGGTTTTTCGAAGACCCCCACCCCTAGAATCAACTCACAATAAGTTTCCATTAGTTTCTCTATAATTATTCGGAAGCCAGGTGACAAGACATTGGCTTCTTTTCTTACAGTTTACCTAAAATATTAATTTAAAAAAGTTACCGCCGTTAAAAATATTCATTATTTGACTCCCACTAAATAAATCCCATAATAACAAATACATCATTATGACCATGCGCTAAACTAAAAAAAAAAAAAAATTACAGACACGAATTTATATAACTCGCAGTTCAACGTCTCGACTTGCCACAAAACGTGCCAACCTCCACCATTCCGCGCAGAAATACGCAACTTACCTCGCCAACATTCTACAGCCAAACTACTACTCACCAATACGCCTTTCCTTAATAACAGCCACGTATGAAGATGTAATAGACTGATCAATAGCCATGTACAACTAGAGGGCCGTGGGGCCCACAATCCCTATTAATTCCAGTCCCCTCCCTAGTGGTCTAGCAAAAGATGTGACCCAAGATGCTGATTGAAAAAACTTACTTTATTTTCGTTCTTCTTATTTTTTTTCTTATTTTTTTATCTCTCTCTCTCTCTTCTCCACTTCTTCAATTCTTCTACCCCCCTCCCCCTTCGACTGGCTTGTCTTTGGCGTTGGTTTTTATGCTTATTTTTTGGCGCCGTAGGGCTTCCACTGTTATGAACTGCAAGAGAAATGCTTTAATAAGCTTTTATTCTTTTATTTTTCTAGCGGAGGTCAGAGTTGGAAGGAAGAGTCAGTCACAAATGAAGGTAATAATGTTGGCTGATGCCGCGGTTGTGTATCAATAAATAAAGAATTGTGTGCTTTTGATAAGAGTAGTTTGTATGTAGATTAGTATTTGTGATTTGTTTATGTGAGTTTGTGGGATAGGTTTATGTTAGAGTGCCACCCGCGCTTATATATATACCTGTGGCTATGCATTCAACGTAAGTGTTTAGCCAAACTATCAGAAGAAATTATTTTACACGTGAAATGTACATTTATTAAATTTAAATTTAAAAGTGAAAATAAAACTCAATTAACTTTTTTAAGGTGACTACGTTTGTGCAACCATGATTTTGGAAAAGCCTATAAATAAATAATTTTTTGATATTTAGTGTCAGTCGAATCAGAATTTACATTTAATATTGTTTTAAGTATACTAATACAAAACATATTATTTAAAAGCAATTTTTTGGCAAAAAAATTAAGAAAGAATAACAGATTTTCAATACAGTCTTCCTTTGGTGAAAAAACTGCTATAATAATATTAGTATGCCTATATACTCAGAGCTATAGCTTATATAACGGGGTTGAATTAAAAATTTTGAAATGTTTAATTTAGAAAGGATTTATTTATACTTTATTATTTTTTTTTTTATCAAATTAGAGAAATCTTAACAAAAAACAGATGCTCTATTATTTCAATTAATCTTAACTCTGAAAATAATGTGAATTTAATATATATATATATATATATATATAGATAGATACATAGATACATAGATAGATTTGAATGAGAAAATTAAAGTTTAAAAATTTTTCAAGGGTTTTTTCGTCTCTTTTTTAGGAGAAAAAAATTTATTTCATAAAACAAATAGAAGGGGAATAATTTTTTCTCTACGCATTAGAATTAATCTTTAAAAGTAAAATTAATAATTATTACTGTGATTTTTTTTCAAAAAAAATAAGTACAATTAATTATTTTATCAAACGAAAAAAATTATTTATATTCAACACTTGTTATAAATTAATAATTAATTGTCCGAGTAATAGTAAAAAACATTACACAGCTCTCAAGAAGTAAGTTTTTAAATCATCTTCATACGTAAGGAGTATAATAATTGGCATTATTGTTTTGCTTATTAATTATTTTTTAATTAGAAATTACATTGAAAGGTTGAGAATAAAAGCTGTTGAGAATAATACTGTTAGTGATTTTTTATTTAAATTTAAATTCTAGAGTTAGAAGAGAAGTTATAAGTATAGAAATAACACGTATGCTCATTTATTATTGACTATTCCTCGACAAATACATATAGCAGAAGG